CTCCTCCTACCGGTAGAGCTCCACCATAGCCAACGTGGAAGCTCCCGGGCTTCTTCCTCACAGCAGCGCTGTAGTAGCCAGCGCTCCTCCAGGCAGCGCTCCATGTCGCCAAACTTGCACAATGAAGAATGAGGCTGGGCTCTTCGCTCAGTCTCAAGATATAGCGGCCTACCTGCCTCCTGGGTGGTAACTTCCAGGCCGCTCGGCCTCCCAAGCAACTGGTACCTCTCCCTTTCGGAGGGAAACATCATTGCAGACTCTGATATTGCCCGTACAGGCCCCAGACGCAGACTGGATGGACCGGTACCCGCCTAGGCCTAGCCTACCACTACTGGGTCTCTAAAAATGCCAACTTTGTCTTCTTCTACTCGGCCTCGAGTACGCGGCACATCTACTTCTACTGGGTGTGGTACTGGCCTACCTGCTACTTGAGTGTTTTTCCGCTTCTCTAAGTGTCGCGGGCCTCTGGCTCCGCCAGTGTTTTCCCTGCTGCAACCCTCAATGTCACGGCCACAGGTAAGTACCGCTTCGGGCCTCCCAAACAAGCAAGTACCGTTGCGGGTCACACACACACTCATGCCGACAAGCACTCAGACCGGCACACAGGTCACCAAGCACGCACACACACAGACTTAGAAAACTCAGCAGAATGCGAGAATCTCAGCAAGGCATCCATTCCATCAGCAGAACTCAGAAATCAGCAATGTTCTCAGTCTGTGTTATGGCGGGTCATTACACTACCCCCCCCCTCAAGAGCGAGGTCCCTTCAAGTGAGTAACTCACTTAGAGATCCTGCATAACGCATCATAAGCATAGATGGCAAAGAGAGATCGGGTATGTTTCGTAGGAGTGAGGGTAGCGGTGAATTTAGGTTGTTGTTCGGAGACAATCAGTCGTTCATATGCATTGGCGACTCGCGGGGCACTCTGCAACAAGTCTTCCTTAGCAATCTAGTAAAAATCATTTAATGGGTGATATAGAAAATGAACTTTATATTGTTTGTTTTTCCCTTTTCCACTGTGCTCGACAATTCTATCAATCTCGTGACCGACATTGATTGCGCGACGAATCATCGATTTTCGATACTAAAAAGTTTTAGGTGGCATACGGAAACAACTTTGACGTGTGAAAGACTGGGTACGTGCGCAGATGAGTAGGCACATCGATCGTGTAAGAAGGACCGAATGAATCCTCCACCTACATGGTTCATTACTTTCCACGGACCGTAATACTGAGGAAGAAGCTTTCGTGATAGGTTCAGGTTGGCGCTTTTTGTTAGCATGCTTAATCATGACACTACGTTGCTTTTCCATAGCTGCAACAACAACTTTGAGCAAGCGATCAAACTTAGCGTTGTAGCCTGGCTGGCCAGGTGTTAGGCCAGGTGGCGGGTTAGAAAACAAATAGGATAGGGGATTGCAAATTTGCCATCCGAGGTGCAGTCGATTAGTGTCATCCCAGTGGAAGAGTGTATGGAGTTGTACAATCCCTGTACAATTGACAATTCCTCATCCCAAGAGTTTTGATCAGGCACAATCAGAGCTCGGAGAAGTTGGATCACAGTCTGGTTGATCTCCTCGGCCAGTCCGTTGGCTTCGGGATGTCGACCAGACGTCATAGATCTGGGAGGTGAAGTCCTTCCAATCTGCACTTATGAACTTAGTGTCCCGATCACTCACAAGAGTCTTTGGGGGCCCACACTGCAGAATGTACTTATTGTGAAACTCCTCGACCACAAGGTTAGTTGGGTCATGAGGTGGCAATGGGATCAAATTTAGAAATTTTGAAAAGCGGTCAACGATCACCATTACTTGTGAATATCCGTTCCTACTCTTCTTTTCCATGTTCGTGAAGTCGGTGGAAAGAGACTCACCTGCGACATTAGGAATAGGAAGAGGATGCAGCGACCCATAGGGCTTTTGCCGAGACAGTTGGATGCGTTGACAAACATACTCAGCCACAAACTTTCGTGCCATTTCTTTCATCCCAAGCCATACAAACTTTTGCAATAGACTTCCGTATGTCTTTTCAAAACCGAAGTATCCACTTCGGTCATGAGCCAAGTCCAAGAAGTGAGTACGGATAGACTCATGGTTGGGTACACACAATCGGTCGTACTTCCCGTAATGTCAGAAGAGCAAACCTTTACACTTGGAAATCAGGCTGATTGCTAGGGTCAGCGTGGATCTGCTCAAGGATGGGACTGAGTTCCGGGTCCTTGGCGGTATGCTCAACTAGTTCCTCCTTCAAATTCTTACGGAGATCGTAGGAACCCACAAGACAAGTCATGTACTCAGGGTGGCGAGACAAAGCATCCACAACGCGATTGTAACAACCTTTATTGTGTTTAAGTTCAAAATCATACACATCGATCTCATGCAGCCAGCGGGCCAATGCAGTTGATGGATTAATTTGTGTCTAGGTCTATTTCAAAGTCTCGTGGTCTGAGAACACTTTGAAATGGCGACCCAAGAGGTAGTGTTTCCAATGATCTAGTGCCTCTCTCAAGGCATAGAGTTCTTGCATGCTAGTGGAGGCAGCTACCTTGTGACTGGGCATGCGTTTGCTGTGGTACTCAAGCGGACGTAAGTTGTCACCATCATCTTGCTGCAACACTGCACCAATCCCATACAAGCTTGCATCAGTAGTTACTACGAAAGTAAATTTGGGATCTGCAATATGGAGCACCGGATGACTCACCAAAGCCTCCTTCAATGCTTGGAAGGCGGTTGTGCATTCCCCGTCCCAGGTTGGACATTTGCCGATTGAGGCCATTTGCGGATGACCTCCACTTTGGTTGCCTCGGGCTCTAGGCCTGCAGTGGACAACCGATGCCCAAGGTAGATAACATTGTCCCTGCCAAACTAAGATTTCTCTAAGTTAAGATGGAGTTGCGGATACTTGAGGATTTGCAACACTATCAAGGTGTCTCATGTGTTCCTCCATCGATTTGCTAAAGATTAATATATCATACAAATAAACAACAACAAATCGATTGATCTGACTGCGGAACACCTTGTCCATGAGACTTTGGAAGGTGGCCGGTGCATCGTGAGGCCGAAGGGCATGACAGTAAATTTGTACAGCCCATCGCGAGTTTTGAATGCAGTTTTATGCTGGTCTGCGGGGTCGACTTCAATCTGGTGGTAACCAGACTTAAGATCGATCTTGTTGAAGACCTTGCATCCACCTGTAGCGTCAAGCAGATCATCAATGTGTGGCAAAGGTTAGACATTCTTTCTTGTTATTCTCTTCAATGTGCAGTAATCGATACATATTCGTAGCTTGCCTCCTTTCTTAGGGACAAACAAAACTAGTGCACCGAATTCGGATTTGCTTTGCTTGATCCAACCTTTTTCAAGCGTGTCATCGATGTGCTTTCACAACTTCTCCAATTCGCTTGAGCCCATTCGATAGGCACAACCTTTTAGAGGAGTGTTGCCTTCTATCAACTCGATCTTGTGTCGGACCGAACGCACGGGAGCTCCATGCGGTTCGGCCAAAACTTCAGGAAATCATTTGAGAAGGCTGCGGATCTCTGATGGGATCTCCAGAGGTGGATTATCAGATTCTGGTGCAAGCCACACTAGCGGTTAATGGAAGGCCAAAAATTCGGGGTTTTTCGCCGCGCCGCTACACGCAATGTTTTCGAAACTTTTGCGAACAAACTATGCAGGGTCATAATACAAACACCAAAAACCAATCAGGCAAAAAAAAAAACAAAAAAATCAAACTCGAGAGCACTATAAATCCTTATTCGGAGTAGCTTTCGGAGTTCGCCAAAGCTTTTTTCGAGTCTGCTGTTTTTGCTAAGTTTTTTGTTACTACTTCAAATACGGCGAAACTGAATACAAATATACCTTAAAGCACATATATAACAGGCAAAAAGAAAAAGTGAGAAAATAGTAAAAATTCAGGGAACAGTTCCGGTGAAAAATTCGCCGAATTTTGAGCCTTCCCTTAACCGCCTCTGTGTAGCCAAAACAACAGGATCTGAATCAGAGTCATTTGGACCAGAAGTAGATTTAGTAGAGGTAGAAGTAGTTGCATTAGAAGTAGAGGCATATGAGCAAGATGCCTCGCACTCTTGGGCTGACGAAGAGCAAGATGCCTCGCACTCTTGCTCTTGATCGTCACCAAGAGAAGGGTCCTCTGCGAAGGCCTCCTCGTCAACCTTAAGTTGATCGTGCGTTGCAAAACGGTTTGCGGCTGGTGTTTTTTTCACTACCCGATCCACCCGGGAGGTCTTGTGCTTCCAACTTAACTAAATCCCGCATGAGGGAAAGCCAATCTGTATATGCTATGAGTCCGAGCCCCAGGCGATTTGTGACAGTAGAGGGAACCGTACCTTTTATCACATTCAAGCAAGATTGCGCAGTCATCTCAAAATCAGGAGTAGCAAAGAGTTTACCATCGTATTGCTGCAAGCTATGCATGGTGTCGGTCAACTTCTTGTACTTGAGCTTGTCAAGCTTGAGTCTAGCTTTGGCTGCAGCATGCGGATCAACATATTGCTTGATCAAGAGATCCTCGAAAGTGTCTATTGTCGTAGCCTTCAGCCATTTGTTCAAGTCTATTCTTTTATAGCCTGACTGTACAGCTTGGACTTCTAAGAAGCCCCTACGGCGGGTTCCACAGTGGTCCCTAGGACCGACGACTGAGTAACGAGGGGTGTCCCCAACACATCAAAGTAGGATCGCATAGAGTTGATCCAAGATTCAATGTCGTCCTTTCCGTCGTATTGAGACGGAAGTTGTGCCGCCTTTCTATCCATGTAGGGAAAGCTGCAGCTAGGACCAGCGATTGCTGGGTCCAAATTTGGGGTTGCAACAGTTTCATTATGCCTTGCATTGCCACTTGCCATTGCAGCAGCAACAGCAACAACATCGGTGTCTGAACTTGTTGCAGATCTGGACAAGTTGTTGACCACACTCTAAGAAAAAGAAGAAGAAAAGAAAGTTTGAGGGGCAAGATCGGACTGACACGCAGCATTAGAAGCAGGGTAAGTAGACGAAAGGACACTTTGGGTCAGCTGCATGTTGGCAAACTGTTGCAGCCGGTCGCGGTGCTGCTGTGCCATCAGGGCCATATCCTCGCGCAACGTCTTGAGTTCATCAAACCTTTGCGAGTTGGCCAGTATGGTCTTCAACAACCCGGACATCTACTCGAGCCCTGAGAAGTGGGACAATCTTCTCTTCCACCTCGGCATCAGTTAGGGCGGGCACGATACTGAAGACGTTCATGAGCATTTACTTTGTCTCCCAACGCTTTTTCATAAAAGAACCTGCAGTGCGCTTTTATTGCCTCAGGGGCAACATCCATTTGCAACTTCCATTGTCCTGAAGATGCTATGATGGAGGACGAGGGTGTCAATAAGTCTCTCAAGAGAGGTCCGTACTTCCTCACACTTTTGGGACAAAAACTCTTCCCTCTCCTCACCCCCTCAAGAGCAACACTCGAAAGCTTCTCTCTTCTCCTAGTCGGAGCGACAATTCATTTGGACTGGAGAGCAGTCGAAACAAAAAAATAAAGATAAGAGAGATCTGATTCCGCCACACAGTGTGGTCCGACTACGTATGAGGTCCTCTCAAGCCTAGCCAGACTTAGCTCCGTGAAGACACAACAAATCAAATTCAAAGTGTACTACGTAATGCAAGAGAGAATTGAGTGGTGTCCAACGTGCAAGCCAGGCGGCGGATCGTTTGGTAAAGTCCGTTAAAACGCCTCAGTTGAGATCCCCTCAATAGTGAGTGTCCTAGTCCGAAACCATGAACTCCGAGTCCGAAGGTAATTGACGTCAACAAATTTGGGCCTGAGGGGCCCTTCTTGTTTGGTCCTGGTCCCACTGAGTCCCAAATGGTCCAAGTGGAGTCAGAACCGGGTCAACCAGAGTTCCACAAAGACCTACTCTCTGCCCCTACCGAATTGAAAAACAAATTTTAGCCCCAGAAAGAACTTACAGACTACAACCGTTCAGAATGAAATAAACAAAGCACTAGGGAAAGAAGATTAAGACTATAGAGGATGGAAGAAGAACCCAGAATACCCCAACAAGCAGTCAATTCCATGCACACACACATGGGCACCCTTGCGGCACGACACTTACCTGAGTGGCTGGGCTCTTGAGATGAAAGAAACTCACCCCCCTCTCACATAGTCCTCCTGACCCAATTAGCATCCTCTACACTAGTGTCCTATCATCTAGGAGGGTCAACATCTACCCCAAAGTACAATGCCGGATCCCCCGTCGATGTTGAAGATCAAAGTAGCAACTTGCAGTCCGTAGGTGCAGATATGGTTGCCACCCTCAAGCTCGCCTAACTTGAGGGGAGCCCTAAAGTAACTCCTCGTCTTCCTTGAAGTCCAGATTCCAGTTGTAGGTGCCCTTCACTTTCGCCTCTCTCCAATTGCATCACGAAGTCCCACCTTGTGTCTTGCCACCACAAACATGCACTCTAGCAACCTGGCCGGGTCAAATGTCGACCCTACACGGCCCTGGCAGGTGGGAGCAGCTTCGCTTTACCACGCTGCCCCACTTAACCCTAACTTCCTGCCCTAACCCTAAGTGGTTAGCCCTTACCACTTCGGTTAGAATTACGGCGGCAAGTCAACTCTCCCCAACAAGTAGAATCTGCTCTGATACCAATGTTACGATCCTGGCCAATTTCGAAGTATACATTCATCAGAAAGTACAATGTCGTCCAATTGCAAAAAGAAATGAATGAACTTGAGAGGAGAGAGAGGGAAAGAAGAGAAGAAGAAGAAAGAAGGAAGAAGAAGATGATGTACTCCAGCGTAGGCCAATGACAATGCTCTTCTCCTTCGCGAGCCACTCTCCTCCTCCTTATCTCCTCCCCTCTTAATAATAATGTTGAAAGGCTGAACCAGAATCAATGTCTGAATCCCACTTCTACTACAGGCACAACATGAGGTCCACCATAGTCATGGCCACCCTTCCTCTTCCTCTTCATGTAGACCGAGGCTATGGCGGAGTACTGAGGGCTGTACCCTCCTGTCCAAAGGACAACCCAACGCAGCTGTGTCGCTGCCCTAAAATCCAAGGTCAACACCAGGCAGCTATGCTGCTGCCCATTCAGCCGCCATGCCTGATCCTGTCCCGAGCTTCCTTGATGCAGCTCTACCCCAATTGGGCCCTTCCAGATGCAGCGCCTAACAAGGTGATGAAGATGTTGTCCACAATAGCCAGGTAGGTACCTCACCACTCTCCTCCTTGGTCCTCTTCTCCCTCCTCCTCCTACCGGTAGAGCCCCACCATAGCCAAGGTGGAAACTCCTGGGCTTCTTCCTCCCAGCAGCGCTGTAGTAGCCAGCGCTCCTCCAGCCAGCACTCCAGCAGCGTGTCGCCAAACTTGCACACTGAAGAATGAGGCTGGGCTCTTCGCTCAGCCTCAAGATATGGCGGCCTACCTGCCTCCTGGGCGGTGACTTCCAGGCCGCTCGGCCTCCCAAGCAACTGGTACCTCCTCCCTTTCGGAGGGAAACATCATTGCAGACTTATTGCCCGCGCAGGCCCTAGACTCAGACTAGATGAACTGGTACCCGCCAAGGCGTAGCCTACTGCTACTGGGCTTCTAATAATGCCAACTTTGTCTTCTTCTGCTCGGCCTCGAGTACCAGGCACATCTACTTCTACTGGGTGCGGTACCGGCCTACCTGCAACTTTGTCGCGGGCCTCTGGCTCCGCCACTTGAGTGTTTTCCCTGTTGAAACCCTCAATGTCGAGGCCACAGGTAATTACCAGCCCTCCGGGCCTCCCAAACAAGCAAGTACCCTTGCGGGTCGCACACACACTCATGCCGACAAGCACTCAGACAGGCACACAGGTCACCAAGCACGCACACACACAGACTTATAAAACTCAGTAGAATGCGGAAATCTCAGCAAGGCATCCATTCCATCAGCAGAACTCAGAAGTCAGCAGTGTTCTCAGTCTGTGTTATGCTGGGTCATTACACAACGCTGAGTTATCTTGTACTTCGACTCTTCAAGTATCCTCCATACTGGGTTCATTACAATTTGGTAACAGAGTGTACCTTCGTCATCGTGATCTGCTGTTGTGCGCCCGTGTGCGCCCAGGTTAGTGGGGGAAAGTGTTGCGCGGCGATTGAAATGTGTTTATAGATGCGCGCGATTATCATCGTAGACTAGACATTGATTGACGCGCTTGCGCACGTACTCCCGCTGAAGATGATGACGTGGACTGAAGACAGCAACATTGCTTATGTGGCGCATTGTTCCTGACGTGGCGATCCGGTTAGCATGTGGGTTGCATGCACTATGTCATGAGGATTATGAAGGCACAACTCGTGCGAGTTTTTGTTTTCATATGTATGATGACAGTCAATATGTACTCGCGCACGACACCCTGACATGTTGTTACATGCCCAGTTGGGCGATGTACGTACAAAAACCGAGGATCCGCAATGTGATAAAAAGAACTGAATGGACAATGCAGTGCAAGTGGAGTCTCAACAAGCAATGTGCATTCTGACACATACAAAATGGTGCTTTATAGNGCAATGTGATAAAAAGAACTGAATGGACAATGCAGTGCAAGTGGAGTCTCAACAAGCAATGTGCATTCTGACACATACAAAATGGTGCTTTATAGTGCAGGGAAGACTTAGATACAAATCCTGACCTGACCGGGACTGACCCCTTTCACGTAGTACAAGATAGCGAAGCAGAATGCTAGAATACTAATGACTTGCCCAATCAATGTTTCAATGCAGACCAAACATACATGATGCTCATCACAAGGTGTGAAGGAGCCTGGCGCTATACACAGGAAGGAAGCGCCAGGTCCAATCATACACCGACGAAGAGGAGGGGATCAGACGAAGAAGAGGGGGAGAGATGGGAATGTCGTCAACACCAAGTCTTTGTCACAAGTCCCAAATAATCCCTCGTTGAAATGTCTGAAGCCCAAAAGTCGAGGCTGGATCCAATGTCACCAAGCTCTCTCTCTCTCTTTCTCTCGTAGTCTGCCGATGCAGTGAAGTCAGATAATGAGAGGGTGGGAGGGGAATGGTGGACTGAGAAGTGGAAGAAGAAGAACCCTCTCTCTCGTATGCCAGGTACTAACCTGTGAAGGTGGCGCTGTGCTGCGGGGCTTTTCTTTTGCCAACGTATATTATATATGCTCACGTATATTAAGAGACATTGGTGATCGTTGCCCCCAAGTTGGGGGCAATGCAATTTAAGTAAGAAAAACGGACTACTTTCTTGACTTTTAATAGGTACCTCGAAGACGAAGCTGGAGCAACGGCACTACAGGTAAGTATCCCTGGCCTCCGCCCAATCTCTCTCTCTCTAGTACTACCCTAGCTATGGCGCCCAACGCTGAAGACTATAGCTACGTTACTAGCGCCCCGCGTTGAAGACTAATGATAAGGATACTACTACTACTCCTGCAGCGCTCCTCCAGAGTGCTGCTGCCAAATCCTGAAGACTACTGACTGCCTCCTGCCAAGTGCATGGGAAGTCCCTATGTACTACCTGGCCTGCCTCCTGACTGCCTCCGACTCCCTGCAGTTGCAGGGCGGGCAGTCCAGGAGGCTGCTCCTGCCAATGCCGAACTGAGCCAAGGGCTGGCGCTGCAGCTGTCGTGGGAACAGGCCAAAAATAGCCTGTTCCCAAAACCTTGATTAGGTGCCTGAGTTTCAGGGCAGGTCCGTCTGATGACAGACCGAAAATGGCCCTTCGTTTCATGCCATTTTTAGTATGAAACGACATAGGATCTGTAGGCCTGTCTTTTTCAAGCTTTCGAGCTGAATAGACACGGGGCCTGTAGGCCCTGGTTTTCAGGCTTTCAGCCTGAGGGACGCAGGGCCTGGAAAATGGCCCTCGTGTGCAGGCGCAGCATGTAACACCCCCCCCTCCTTATGAAGTCAAGCCGGGGCGAGGGCGAAGCTGACGTTCTGAAGGTGGAACTTGGACGGGGGTGAGGCGTGGAGCCTAAGAGACCGGCTTGCCTTGCATCTTTCGTTCATAGCGTGCGAGAACGTCTGGAGTTGTTGCTTGAAGTTCCGCACGGGTCAACCAGCGGTCAGCTCGGTGTGTGTAGTATGCAAAATGTACCAAGTACTTGGTTGGCCTGTTGCTGTAGCGTCGCAGGGAGATAATGTCGCCGACCTCGTGAAAGCCGTCCATAGAGGGTGGGTCTTGCGAACGTCTCCCGAGAAAATCGTCATGTTCCGCTGGCATGTAAAGAGCCAACTTGGAGCAATGAAAGACTGGGTAGACGGGCAAGTGGGCGGGCACCTGAATAGTGAAGGAAGGTCCCTCGGGTGCATCCCCAGCGGGTGCCACGATCGGCCAAGGCCCCATCCATCTAGGAGGAGCTTGTGAGAGAGATCTTGTTCAAGGCTTAATTCCACGGCGGAGACCCAAACGAGATCGCCGGGGCGGAATGGGCAAGGAAGACGCTGGTGATTGGCCTGTTGGCTCATGCGTTGTTGCGTCTTGGCCATCTGGTCGCGTGCCTTGACAAGTAGCTCTTGCATACGATGCAAGAAAAAAAGATGGTCGTCGCTCTCGGCCGTTCGTGGAGTGATGGTGTCCAACGGCGAAGTGACCGGCGAGCCATGCTCGAACTCGAAGGGCGACGTCCCGATAGCCGGGTGGATGGAGGAGTTGTAGGCCAACTCGACATCCGGCAGCCACTCAACCCAATCCTTCTGGTCAGGACGGATGAGAGTGCTAAGGAGAATCTGTGCGGTCTGGTGCGCCCTCTTCGTTTGGCCATCTGTCTGGGGGTGGCGAGCTGAACTGGGCTTGAGAGATGAGCCCCATCGCTTGATGAGCGCCAACCAAAAATCGGACATGAACCGAGTGTCGCAGTCGCAGACGATTTCCTTGGGGTAACCCTTGGTTCGAATCCAACCGGCGTAAAGAACCTCGACCAACTCCGGTGCCTTGGCATGATAGCAGCAAGGCAAAAACATGGCGAACGTGGTGAGTCTGTCGACCACCGTGAGAATCCCATCCACTCCGGTCTTGTGCTTGGGGAACGGGCCGTTAATGTCCATGGCAATCGCTTCCCTTCGCCTCAAAGGGACCGGTAATGGTCGTAACTCGCCGTACGGACGATGGTGGCGGGATTTGCAGCGTCGGCAAACCTCGCATGACTCGCTATAGCGTGTGACGTCGCCGAGAAGGCCGTGCCACCAAAATCGCTTGCGAAGTCGGCCAATCATGCGATTGACTCCAAAGTGTCTGGTGGCGGGAGCATTGTCGAACTTGCCAAGAAGCCGTGTATGCAAATGAGGATCACTCGGTACGCAAAGAAGATCCTTCCCCCGTATGTGGACAAGCAAGTACCACTCTTGGATCTGGTAGTGAGAGGAGCAATTCGCGTACTTGTCGCAAAACTCAGGGTCGGCTTGGTAGCCGCGGATGAAGCTGTTCCGCAGGTCGTCGTCGATCTCGAAGGTTGAGTAGACCGCGGTACAATGATCCGGACGCCGTGAAAGAGCATCCGCAAAACGATTCGACTTCCCGGGAATGTGATCGGGATAAAAGTCAAACTGGTCGATGAAAGCCATACATCGAGCGATGGTGCTGTTGATGGTGTCTTGGGTCTTATAGAAGACCAACGGATTGTTGTCGGTTACCCATCGGAATTGGCTTCGACCAAGGAGGAAATGCCGCCACCGCTTAAGCGCGTGGACGAAGGCGAGGAGCTCCTTGCGTGCATCGTTAAGGGAATGCATGACCGACACTTTCTTGCTGAAATACTCGACCGGGTGCCAGTCCACACCATCATGTTGCTCGAGGACGGCACCAATGCCATAGCCGGACGCATCCGTAGTGACGCGTGTAGGCAAAAGCGGGTCGTATATGTGCAAGACCTCCGTAGATAGTAGTGCGGCTTTGAGAGCCAAAAATGATTCTCGCGCCTCCTCTCCGAAGTCAAACGGCCGCTCCTCGCATTGAAGCTTGGTCAAGTGGGCTGTGATCTTCGAGTAGCCTTTGATGAAACGCTGATAGTAGCCGGCGAGGCCAAGGAACGAGCGGACATCCGTGACGTTCCGAGGCTCCGACCACTCTTGGATGGCTTGAATCTTGTCCGATAGCGCACTGATGCCTTCCGGTGTGACAAAATGGCCCGAGTATTCCAGCTCTTGCCGGGCAAATTCGCACTTGTCGCGGTTGGCCTTGTACTTGGCGAGGCGGAGCGCCTCCAACACTCGTCGAAGATGCCCAAGATGATCCTCCAATGTCTGGCTATAAACGAGAATATTGCACGAACCGGTCCAACATTGCACGAAACTCGTTGGTAAAATTGCCGCTTGAAAGGTCGTCGGGGCGTTGGTGAGGCCAAAAGGCATGACCACCCACTCAAAATGCTCGTACTGCGTCTTGAACACGGATTTGTAGCGATCGTTCGGCCGGATCGAGATTTGATGATATCCCGACTTCAAATCCAACTTAGAAAAATACTTTGCGTCGCCCAATCGCTCAAGAAGATCGTCGATGCGAGGAAGAGGCCCCGCATTCTTGACGGTTTGGATGTTGAGTTTGCGGTAGTCGATACACAATCGTAGATCCTTGTTCTTCTTTCGGACGAAGAGAACTAGTGCTCCATATGGGGAGCTACTAGGGCGGATCCAGCCCTTGGTCAACAAGTCGTCAAGTTATGCGCGGAGGACGTCAAGTTCCTCCTCGCTCATCCGATAGATGCAACCTTTCGGCGACACGACACTGGCCTCAAGAATGATCTCGTGAGAGATCGACCGATCTGGCACCACACCACTAGGTGACTCGAAGATGTCGGCGAACTCGTCCAGCAACCACACCACACGGGGGTCCGAAGACAAGTCCGTGGGTGAAGAGTCGGCTATCGCGACGGTCCGTAGGAAACATAGGCCGATTTCCTCGGGCTGCTCGTAAGCGCAAGTGGCCCGGAATGATTTGGTCGTCACCACTGGCACCGAATCAAAGGGTGTGGAAGAGGAATAGTACACGCCACTTCGGCGCCGAAGGCGTCACGAACGCTAAGAGTCCGCCGGTGGAAGTTGATTGTGTGATCCGTGCAAGCCAAGGCATTCCCAGAATGATGTCGAAGTCCGTGTCCAAAATGTCGAACGTCGCCGGTTCGCATGCAAGAGGTGCGAAATACACCGGTACGACTTCGATGTAACGGTCGAGGAGTTGCTGCGTCTTTCCATCCGATAACTTCATCGCCATCGGGTTTGCCTTCCTCCGAGCTTGTGCGCCAAGGCCAACCCTTTGCATAAAGGCTTGGCTCATGAAATTGCGAGACGCGCCACTATCCAGCAAAGCGCTGCAGGACGCTTGCCCAACCTGGATGCGGACGTACATGAGCGGTGTGTTGTTGTCATCGTACCGCTGCGTGTGAAACTCGCGGGCCACCTTGGTAACATACGCAAGGATGTCCCCCACCACGACTTCGTCATTCGTCGACGAAGTTGGTGGTGCATAGAAGGATAAGTACGTGTGAAGATGAGCGCATAGTGCTGTGCATTGCGGTCCCGACAGGCGGCCCGTGGTTGGGAGAGGAAGCCATGCAAAGTCCTCGGACGTGAGCGGGTCCAATACCTCTATGTTGAACTCGCGCGCCGAATCCCGTGAAGAACCACTTGAAGACCATAAGTCGCCGCTGCCGGACAGAGAAGATGCCGCACACACGTCTTGTCCTTGAGCTTGAGTACCCAGCGTAGGAACGAGTCGGGCAACATAGTCCTCAAAAGAATAAAGAAGAGGAGGACTTTCGACTTCCGCATCGGAACGAAGGGCGGTCACCCGCGAATCGATCGGTTCCGAAGGCATCGAGAGTGTCGTCGAATCACTCCCGGCGGTGCTCAGTTTCCCGATTTGCCCTTGCCTTTCGGCGGGCAGGCCACTGTCTCATGGAGATCGGTGTTGCACCATAGGCAATAGTGAAATCTCGTGCGCGCTTTGAATGCTTGCTCGGAGAGACCGTATTGGGACCATGGGGCTTGAGCTGCTGCACCGGGCCCGGGGCTAGATGCGGTGTTTGTCTTCGCCTTGCCGCGTCCTCGGCCTTTGCCGGGCGGCCACCGTCCCGGGTGGCTGCGAGTCTGTCCCCTTCATTGGCAGACACGACCTCGCTAGTTTGGTCAAACGGCAGTGCCGCCGCGACCACGGCCACTTTCGGTCGATGCTGGTCTCTGCTCGGGCTTGTCACAGATGAACGCAGGTTCTTAGCCTCCTGCGCGCTTTGAATGCTTGCTCGGAGAGACTGTATGGGGACCATGGGGCTTGAGCTGCTGCGCCGGGCCCGGGGCTAGATGCGGTGTTTGTCTTCGCCTTGCCACGCGTGTATGTACCGCATTAAGCAGAAGACAAGCGCCAGATAAGCGCACCGTACCACAACTCCGATACCAAATGGCAAGGAAGATGAGCGATAGCGAACTTCAGAAATCAAACATAATCATACACATGAGACCAGATAGTCGTGACCTCGAACCAATAGCAGAATTGCATCACGAGTTTCACCAAATAAGAGCACAGCAAAAGCTCATAATTGACAATGCTGGAATAGTCTCATCATCATCAACGAAGAACCAATGTTGATATCCTATTTGGCGTTCGACGCTCAGACTACGAATGGCAGATCCTATCTAGCCTACTCTACAATGTCGCTGATGACGTCAACAGCTCCCCGAAGTACGAGCAGATCTCGGTCAATGCCGTACGCTTCAAGCACCAGGTATGTCTCTCGTATCACTCACAACCTCGTTCCCCAACTCACAAATGCCACATGCACCCAAGGACCACCATGCACCCCATCCAACATACAGCAATACAGCTCGGCTATGGCTGCCTGCTCCTTCCAGCTCGCCCTTGAGCGCGTGAGCGCTGGCTAGCGATAGCGCAGCAGCGCTTGTGCACAATGCAGCCAGTGCCCAAATGCCGAATGTGTGGGCAGGCCCTTTCCTAAATGGAAGCGACCTGCCTGTCTTGCGTGCAGCCTGGCTGCGTTGGGCCCCTGCCCAAAAGCTCCTGGTAGGCCCACAGAGGCTGAGCCCCAGTCCAAACGAATTCAGGCCCAGGGCCTGTGACAGTTACCCGTGCCCAACTATTTACAGTTTGAGTTGGGTCCATGCTGCGTATCTCGCCCAGGGCCTGACTCAGATGCATTTGATAAAGGAGGCCAGGGTGTGGGCGCTTTCAACCAAGTGGCGCTGCGCAACTGTCGAAATTTCCCCAGTTGCGTGTTGACCCCAAAATTGGCCTGTAGGCCTCGGTCGAGCCTGCCTTCACTTAGGGCAGCCGACTGAGCTGAACATAGGGCCCAGTAGGGCGTATCAAGGCCTTGTGCCTCGCAATTATATTAATATGTTAAAAAAATAAAGAAAAATTTATATCTCGAATCATAGTCGTTAGTTCAAGCCGCCGAGGGTATCAAAACATTTGGCTCAACGAGAGGATCAACTTTGATCCGGGGGTGGTTTGCCCAAAACCCCCCGGATCAGAAGTTATCCCAAAAAGAATGTTTCATTAAATAAAATAAAATTAAATTAAAATGATAACTAATCAATTAATCAGCAGGCTAATTAGCCTGCGCACCCCTGTTAGATAGGGGAAGGTCGAGGCCTTGGGGGTGCAGTCCGCTCGCCGGCAACGGCGCCAAAGTTGTGAGGAAATCCGGGGAGGGGTCGCCTGTCCTCCGCTGAAGCCAAGGACAACGACATTTGTCACCCGCCGTGCCCGCTCCAGAGGTCCTCAGCGGTTGGCAGGAAGATGGGTGGAGGATATGCCTGTCACCACTTCGCCACGAAGCGAGATCAAGTGTTCTTTTCACTGTACAGCAAGTCTAAACATAAAATAATTACCAATTTAAAATATTTCGTTTCCACCCAATCCTGCATGCATCAACGATTGCAGTGTTTTTTGTGACCAGCAAGGCTCCCAATCGTGAAGCTCCACAAATGAGTTGTGTATGGAATGAAACGGTTTTCACCTTTTGCAGTAGCAGATGCAGATCCTAGGGCTCGATCCCTAGACCGTGCCCTACCCGTGTACAGTACATGTGAAGACCCCGAGAGTTGAACCTGTGACCTGTGTATTCGTAAACAGTGGGTAGGTTGTCATAGGTCCATAGGTAGCAGGGGTTCGATCTGTAGATCTGTAGAGTAGAAGTCTTAGCGAGTTCCAGAAGTCTAGCTGTAGTCCTTCTAGAAGGTCAGCAAGTGGGCAAGTGGTCAAGTGGTGAGTCAAGTGGTGGACTAAACCACAGTGCGATTGCAGTACGACTCCGGTGGGATGGCAGTGAGTCCCCGTTCAGTCAGCAGTCAGGTCCAGTCAGTCCCAGTCCGGTCCAGCAAGTACCACGAGGGACTGTGAGCACCATGGGCCGATGGCAAAGGGCAGACCAACGAGTTTCAGAAGTATAAATCAAGAGGCAGCGCCCAGCCATTCATTCATTCCTGCGTGAGCCATGCGGAAGCGCTGCCACAGCGACTTGTGCAAGGAGGTCTGCAGTGAGCCCGGATCTGAGGTGGGCAAGAGAGGAGCGTAGCGTAGCGATAGCGTAGTTGCGGCCATAGCCGCCATAGCTAGACTTAGTGTGTAGTGTGTGTGTGTGTTGTGTGAGTGCAGAGTATCGCGTGTGGGGTATCCAGGGTGATCTGGTGTGTGCGAACAGAGAGTTGTTTGGGCGCTGAGACGCCATAGCCATTGGAAGTGAACTCTTATCTGGATTGCCATATCTCTGAGTTTTGAGTGGGCGCATATCGCCAGTTTGCTGCGCTACTGTTTGCATACATGTAAAGTGTGAATGAAAACGAGTCTGATAGCAGGAATTAGCAAATCGTATTGAATAGCTGATCCATCGAAGGACAATGCCAGTGGCCCCTATGATACCGTTTCACAATGTCCCGAAAAAAAAAAGTTTGGTTCAATAATTGAAAATGTACCCTTTCACTGATGCAGAAATACGAGAGAGCACCTTCACCGCGAAATACAAGCCAACAAACCGAGAAATTTACAAAACAAAATAGTAAAATTTACAAAACAAAATAATAGTCTTAGATGATGGACTGACAGGCAATGACTGCAGCTATTTGCTTCAACTTTCAAGCGCGAGAGCCTGTTGTCTGCGCCCATCACGACCCTGTGAGGGAACAGGGAGCTTCGAACCAGATTCAGAAGTTGCAGTGGGATATCATCGTCATCACCACGATTTTTAACACTAACAAATTTTTGGAATTTCATACAGCAAACAGTCTTCACAGGGGTGAGCTCAGTAACTTGGATGATAAGGCATTAGCTCGGGCTCAAGAGAGCAGTCTGATTCGACGTCTCTGCTTGCGTAGTTCATGGGGTATGGCTTTTGCTCAGCCAAGGCTTTCCATTGTCCGTCCCCTCTCGCTTTCCCTAGAGAATATTCGCATTAGCCTCATCCGAGAGAAAGTTAGATCATACCCTGATTCAAGTAGTCAGTAGTGACTCAGTCATGCTCATCATCGGCGCATTGCCTTTCAGACTTCCACATTCTTACGTTCTCTCCCCATTTTCACGTTGGCACACCCACTTTTCCTTGTGGCTCAACGGAACCAAGCTCGCCCCTCATTTTATCAGTTTGAACGCATCAAGCAGTGTGTCTGTCCGGGTACATGCAAAGGGTAGCCCACGTCCTGCTTATAGATCATTCGGGCTCCTCCTTTCCCGTGCGTTGCGCGTTCTTCAAAGTCCACTGTCGACCCTCAAGAGTCTTGTTGCTTCAAGCGTGGAGGAACGTGGACCTATTAGAGGTTGGGTGCCATGACTCGGGAAATGCGCACACTTGTGGTCTCACCCTTCCATCCTCAGGGCCTTCTCCTTCATTCTTCCAGCGCACTCACTCTTTTGACCGACAGTGCATTCACACTCCGTTTGGCAGCGCGTGGACTTTCCCTTTAGTGAGGCATTTGCTTTTTCTTGATCTCTCACTTTTCCTTACACATTTTTCCTCCTTTTTTTGTTTTTATGAGCTTGTCTTCCACTCTGACACGCCGCGGACCCGCTATTACTGCCACTCCAAATGCTCGCTTCCGTTCAGATTGTTGTCCGACACACCCCGTTCGGAAAAAAAAATAATTATCCTTCTCTCTCATTTTCCCCATGCACTTGATAAGAGGCTGGTTTGACCCTGATCATTAGTCTGCTGGGTCAGGCTCGAAAGGTCCGATCAAGGCTGGTCATGTGTTGTCAAGAATTATGAGTATTGATGAGCTTTCCCCCTAAATAATAATTAAAAAAAGGGGAAAAAAAGTAGAAATATACAACCAAGAAATATCTCGTACTCTCTTACGCATCTCTTGCTCCTTTTTCTTGGAAGTCCTTTCTCTCCTAGATCAGACCTTTGTAGGTATGTTCAAAAACGAAACCTGCACGCACTGGTTTTCTCGGCGTGACTCTGTACTTTCCCCCGCTGCTACCCATTCGAAATCGGTCGGAGTCTCACGAACTTGATCTTCAATAAACTAGATAGTCTTACTCAGAAAGAGGAATTTGGATTCTCGTCCTTCACTTCCGTTCTCTCATTCAAGGACCAAGAATAGCTGGTCCTCTCTTCACTGAAAGTAGCTGATCCCTCCAACAGAGGGAATGGCTGATTGCCCCTTCAGCAAGAGTAGCTGATCCCTCCAACCGTGGAAATGGCTGTTCATCTCATCAGCCAGAGAGGCTGTTCAACAGTGGAAATGGCTGTTCATCTCATCAGCCAGAGAGGCTGTTCAACAGTGGAAATGGCTGATCGTCTCATCAGCAAAAGTGGCTGTTCACACCAACAGTGGAAATGGCTGATTGCCTCATCAGCAAGAGTGGCTGATCACACTAACAGTCGAAATGGCTGAATGTCTCATCAGCGAGAGCGGCTGATCACACCAACAGTGGAAATGGCCGATCGCCTCATCAGCGAGAGTGGCTGATCACTCCAACAGTGGAAATGGCTGATCATCTCATCAGCGAGAGCGGGTGATCACTCCAATGGAAATGATTGATCGCCTCATCAGCGAGACTGGCTGATCACTCCAAAAGTGGAAATGGATGATCGTCTCATCAGCGAGAGCGGGTGATCCCACCAATAGTGGAAATGAAGAAAAGTCCCTTTTGAGGAAAATCACCAGCGCCCGTAGCTTCTGTACCCTTCAACCAGAAATTGATTACCAATTACGCCAGCCGTACGTCTCTCCGAGAGAGTCCTTCGCTCCCCTTCGAACAGGGACACTCAGACTCTCTCCCAGCTGCTGGCTGCCACGTGCATCAGGTATTCAGTTGTCGGTCACCCTCCGAACGAGTATGTTTGAATTGATCCTAAGTTCATTGATTATATTAATGAATTAGTAAGTCTTTTTTTCTCACTAAATTTAATTTAAAATATTATGTTGAAACCTTGAATGGAATCTTCTATATTCCGAATTGGGGGCTGCATACGCCTGGCACGCCTCCCAGGTGCACTACCGACGCCCGCGAATTGCCCCTTCTCATATCGCTCGCTTGATCTATATCCCCACAACATCAGAGGCTCTGGGCCCCGGGGGAGCGCTGGGATAGCACCTGAGGCTGTAGCCCCAAGGGTGCGTCGGGGTGATCAATATTGGCAATATCAGCCCCAGTACGTGGGCTGTAGGACGGACGCAAACCAGTTCCAGTACCAGGAATCCATTCCACAAGCCCAAATGTCACAACCATAAATTGGTTCCACCGAATTAAGTGTCGTAACATTAAATCAAGCGTCGTGACCAGATAATTAGCGTCCTGCCCGTACCGAACCAGTAACCGTGCCAATATAACGGTGGCAACCACGCAGTGTGTCGACCCAGTTTCGAGCCAGTGGCTGTGTCGTCATGACCAGGCTGGCGTAGGTCTGAAAC